AAGGATAATGATAATTATATAGAACAATGTAGGCATATCTACATACCAGTGGTCTGTCCTTTTGCTCCTGACGTCAGTGGTACTGTCGTTATTTTGGCCGTTGTTGATTCTGTGTAAAATAAATAATAATACTCTAACTTCGGTCTTAGAAACTGTAATAATATATCGTACGGGCCTTTGTATGTCTAAAGAGTATGACTCACCGAGACCGCGATAGATTGCGGCGGGATCGATTCCCACAACTGACCTCTTTTTTCATACAACTAATAAATAACTTTCGTTGATAAACCGTTCGGTACAATATAAAACAGTGGTGGATATAGTGAGGTTTAGGGGGACAAACCCACTCTGTAAAGAACAGTAACAGAACTACTGTAATGGGTCATGGCCTACAAAGGGCCAGCCTGCCTAGGTTTAAGAAGGTTGGCATGTAGACAGACTAGGCTTAGCGTAACTAACCTGCAATTAAATAAAATTATATTTTATTATCTATTTGATGTGTGTGTGTGTGTGTATGTGTGTGTGTGTGAAGGGGTGGGGGCTGGGGTTGTGTGTATATCATAATTATTTTTAGTATCTGGGAAGGATAATGATAATTATATAGAACAATGTAGGCATATCTACATACCAGTGGTCTGTCCTTTTGCTCCTGACGTCAGTGGTACTGTCGTCACTTTGGCCGTTGTTGATTCTGTGTAAAATAAATAATAACACTGTAAACACAGGTCTTAGAAACTAATAATATATCTTACGGGCCTCTGTAGTCTAAAGTGTATGACGCTCACCGAGACAGCGATAAATTGCGGGTTCGCAATTCCCACAACTGACCTATTTTTAAATACAACTAATTAATAACTTTCGTTGATAAACTGTTTGGTACGATATAAAAGAGTGGCGAAGAGTGAGGTTCCGGGGGATAAATATACTCTGTGACAGTAACAGAATACTACTGTAATGGGCCATGGCCTACAAAGGGCCAGCTAACCTGCCTAGGCTTAAGACTAGGTTAAACAAGGCTTAGCTTAACTAACCTTCAATTAAATAAAATTCTATTTTATTATTTATTTGATGTGTGTGTGTGTGTGGAAGGGGGTGGGGCAGGGGTTGTGTGATATATATAGGCCCTATTATATATCATAATTTCTTTTAGATATCTAAGTCTCTGGGAAGGATAATGATAATTATATAGAACAATGTAGACATATCTACATACCAGTGGTCTGTCCTTTTGCTCCTGACGTTAGTGGTACTGTCGTCACTTTGGCCGTTGTTGATTCTGTGTAAAATAAATAATAATACTTCAACACAGTCTTTATTAATGAAACAATTAAAGGTAATACAAAATGCCCTATATTATTACCTCTGAGGTTACATTTCTTATATTATTACCTCTGAGGTTATATTTCTGATATTGAATGGAAGGATCCTTTATATTTTCTTGACGATCAGGAGTAGAGTATGGATGTGGAGACCATTAAAGAACAACGCTACTCATTTTCATTTTTTATTTTTTTGTTTACTATTATGTTGTTGTTGAGCGACTCGAGGTTGTTAAAATTAGGCGCTATATAAATATTTATTATTATTATTATTATTAATATTATTATTATTATTATTATTATTATTATTATTATTATTATTATGTGTATGGCTGGCTGGGTTGTGTGTATTTGCATGCATGTGTGTTGTACTGATGTAGTCAATGAAATTGTTAGTAATCATATCTACCTACCTGTTGTCTGTCTTTCTTCGTATGACGTTGTTGTAGTAAGTCTTGACACTGTTGCAAATGAATGTAAACGTAAGCCTAATCAGAGTTTCAGCGTTCGTATTAGCCACGTTAGAAGAGCTGTGTTCGTATTAGCCACGTTATAAGAGCTGTGTTCGTGTTAGGCACGTTGAAGAGCTGTGTTCGTGTTAGCCACGTTACAAGTGCTGTGTTCGTGTTAGCCACGTTGAAGAACTGAGTTCGTGTTAGCCACGTTGAAGAGCTGAGTTCGTGTTAGCCACGTTAGAAGCGCTGAGTATTATTCTTATTATTCTTTTATTTGTTTATTACTATAATTATTGTTATTATTGTTATAACCAGTTATTATTGCATTGCCTTCAAGTGTTGATTGTAAATTGTTAAAGTGATAAAGATAGGCCTAATTGATAGTCATGCAAGCAAAATTGTCTTTATATCCAATACTGAATAATTGTTTGTAGTACCGATGGTGATAGACAGAATTGATTATCGCAATTTGTAAACTAATGATCTATTGTTCTATGTTGATGATATGGTTAACTGTATTGCTGAAATTACTACTTGTAAGCTGTGATAATAGTAGCGTTATTATTCTTGAGCTATACATTGATAAATTATATAATATTGGAGATCAATGTGTAGATTAATAATAATGAGCTTAGTAGTTTAGTGGTTATTATTGTTGTGAATCATTACACATTGATATATATATTATATATTATTGGAGATTGATGTGTAATATAATGATAGTGAGCATAACCATTTAGTAATTGTTATTGTTGTGAACTGTTCGATTAGCATACATTGATATATTAAATATTATTGGAGATCAATATGTACTTTATTGATAATGAGCACAATTAGTTAAATATCATTGCTATGAATTGTTTATGAATGACAAGTTAATGGTAACATTATATTGTTATTATTATGGATATTATTATATAATTGGAGATCGTTGTCCAGTAAATTAATGGTAATGTGCACAACTAGTTAATTATGTGATACAAAGTGTTAAGGGTATAAATTGCGAAAGTTAGATGGACTTATTGTTAATGTGATGTGTTGTGGTTAATAAGAGTTTAACCCGAGTTTTAATTGTCGTAACTTATTGCCGAGGTCCTTTCTCTGTTTTGGAATTCTGGGAGAACTTGTGACACAAACCCACTCTCTAAAGAACAGTAACAATACTACTGTAATGGGCCATGGCCTACAACGGGCCAGCTAACCTGCCTCGGCTTAAGAAGGTTGGCAAATAAGACAAACTAGGCTTAGCTTTACCTTCAATTAAATAAAATTCTATTTTATTATCTATTTGATGTGTGTGTGTGTGTGTGTGTGTGTGTGTAAGAGGATGGGGGAGGGGGTTGTGTGATATATATAGGCCCTATTATATATCATAATTTTTTTTAGATATCTAAGTCTCTGGGAAGGATTTTAATGATAATTATATAGAACAATGTAGGCATATCTACATACCAGTGGTCTGTCCTTTTGCTCCTGACGTCAGTGGTACTGTCATCACTTTGGCCGTTGTTGATTCTGTGTAAAATAAATAATAA